TATAGATATATAGTATACTTGGGCTGCACTGGTTTGGGTTGATGTAGGGTCCAGCCTGATTTTTGGGTTTGTCAATAGCTCTAGTGTACATGCTGTGCACACTACTTTCTATGTTGCAGTGTAACATTTTCAAGGGCTTTACATAGTGCGTACATTTTACATTCAGAATTTGAACACACTCAGATAGATAATACTATAGTGTCAAGTAAGATGTGAAAGTGTGACAGTGAGCCATCATACACAATACCAGGACCCTCAAACTGAAGAGCAGCTACATGGAATCCAACGATCATCACTTTTTATCATTTACACTTTCCCTACTGTGACATTTCAACATGTATTCTGTGAAATAGGCCTACTGTTTATCAACCAACCTTATTCTAATTCAAGGAGAGGATGCTTGAATAATTTAAGGTGGGATCTTCCCTGAGCAGCTCACTCCTCTATTCATGTCCTGCATAGTTTCAGACACCAAGGACGAAGGATTAACTGTCCCTGAGGCATCGGTAACTACTTACCCTTATACGACTGGAGGCCTGACGACGGCAGTTCTATGTGATCCATATGTATGACAGTGAAGCCTAAATCCCTATTCATATCCAACTTGATCTCAGCCAGCCTATCGATATAAGGCACTATGCAAGCAGAACATGATTGAGCTCTGAGTTTGGCCTCCCTTCCTCCTCTCCCTGCCAACACACTGTCACTGTTTGAGCAAACTCCAATTTGTCATGATGACTCCATCCTTCCTTTAATCCATCCATCGCCTTAGATATGATGTGACACTGGCTGAAGCAAATAACATAAACGTCCTTACGTGTTTTGTGATGTACATAAAGATGGATATTTTTCTTATTCAATGGAAACATTTTTTTTTTTTTTTTTTTTTTTCTTTTTTTTTACAAATTACCTCATTTTGTTCCCAGCTGTTGTTCAAATTGTTGCTCACCTCACCCCCAGCTGAATCTGCATGTTTTCTCATTGGCCAGTAGGTCAGTTTTCATTGATTGTTAAATCATTCCTCTGTAAACAATGATTACAGTAAACATCCTTCTCCGGGCTCAGCTATATGCCAGACAACATTCACTTTGCCTTTGGGTCAGCAGTGAGTGTGTGTGTGTGTGTGGGTTATACCCCCAATATTTGGTCTCTAGCACTAGAGAAAATCAGGCTATGTAGACAGAGAGGCAAACAAACCGACACTTGGAATTGGAACACTGTGAATATCCTCCAGTCTCAGCCTTTGTGTCTGTCGGTTTGTTTGCCTCTCTGTCATAGCTGGTATCAGTCTCAAGGAAATCCTCCCACTCTTTCTCACTCTTTTTGTGGGTAGAACTGGTAGCTGGCAGAGAGAATTTCCTCCCTGAATGGTTGTTTCTTTAATCTCTATCTCCCTCACTCTGTCCCTCCATCTCTTCCTCCCTCTATCTCGCTGGCTGAATGACTGTCTGGACTGAGCTAGAGGGTTTGTTTGGGGGGGGGGGGGGGGGGGGGAGATAGAGATTAAAGAAACAACCATTCAGGGAGGAAATTCTCTC